TAGACTTTAACTCACTTAGACACATTAGAAAATGTTACCCTGAGCTTGGAAGCAGAGGCACGTCACTCTTAGAGAAATGCAGAGACTTATCCCTAGGATGTTCAAATCTTGGGGGCATCTTGATTAAAAATGGCATTTAAGGTGAGTTGTTCAAAAGTGTTCACTGTTGGCTTTTCTCTCTTACTATCTAATTCAAGGGTGAGCTGACTTCAAGGAAAGCAGAGTCAGGCCAACACTGAGCATTTTTGAAAGTCCCACCTTTAAGCAACATTGTTTGGCTCCTTTCATTTAGTCTCCAGGTAAACATACGCTGCTGAGGGGAATTTTGAAATTAAGCTTTTTTAACGGTGTGTCAATAGAAGGAGAATGGACTCTCTGATCCCTGCACAGGGAACATATTCTTTTTCCTGGAGTAAGAAAAGATAACTGGTGTTATTCCTTAATTTAACCACGTACCTAAGGGTAGCTTTAAGTCATGAGTGGGGAACCTCTGGCCCGGGTGCCAAATCTGACCCCTGGCTTGCCTGGATCCAGCCCCTGAGGCTCAGGACTCCCCCCAACATCAGCAAGCCAGAGCTGGTGGTCCAGCTTTGCGGTCTCACCATCCCCATCCCACTGCTGCACCCGTAGCTTGCTCCTGCACCCTATTTCCCACCCAGCCCTCCTATCCCCACAGCCTGCTCCTGCACCCCCACCCACACACTGAACCCCTTATTTTTGGCCCCACTCCAGAGCCTAGAGGGGCCCACAAAAATCTACTAGCCTAGCCCCTCCCCCCCCTCGGCTCCGGTGTGTGAGGGGAAAATGGGGAGTGACTTTCTCCTTCTCAGTTGGGGGCCACGTCAATGAGGCTTTTTTGTTCTTGGGGCTGCTGCATCAGCCTGAGATTCATCTTTGGCTAGACGACTATGCACATGCTAAATAAATAAATAGGAAGCACAACATCTAGAAAGCAGTGGGGGATTTCTACAGCAAACGATGGCATCTTCAGAGGTGTGATGCAATTCTCCTAGACCACAGTGGCTTGTTTCCTAAGCAGCTAGAAGAATCCCTAGGATCTGGACTAGTGATAATAAAATTAAGTAGTTAAAATTTGTTTTGATATGGTACTCTCCTGTTACCACCACCCTTAGTCCATTGAGTCTTGCTTGTGTCTTTATGGTAGTGCTACTTTTGCACCCCCAAAGTTCCAGTCTTTATATAGTGAAAACCATCACTCTCAGCATCTGCCTTCTGCCTCTGCTGAGGCCACTGACAAAGTCATCCACATCAAAATGTTTTTTAAGAGCAGAGAAGGATTGCAAATTCTCTCTCCCCCCAGTGATGAACGCTTCTCCAGTAGTACATTTAGTGTGTGTTTTCCAGTGACTTTGAGAGTCCTGAACTCACTTCCCAATCCAAAATCTCCTGCACTGCAACAAGCTGTGTCATTGCCATGAGCTAATGTGTTGATGGTTTCCAACTAAAATATATCAAATATCAACATTTCCTTCTAGCTGATCCAGTGTCCTAAGATGAACCCACAGTAAGCCGATTATCAAATCATTTTCATGCTATAAAAGGGGGAGGAAAGATACACTAAAAGGAATACTATAAAGGCTGATTATGGATTTTTTTTATAGCCAGTGCTAGAAAGGAAAAGAAAACAGTTTGCATTTGCAATGAGGGAGATGCTGATAGGCTCTGAGAGCACTTCTTTATTATGATATGTGTGTCACATTCTTTCTGGGATATGCAGGTATGTGGCTGTATCTGAGGGTACGTCTACACTGTAACACTATTTGAAAATAACCAGCACTATTCCAAAATAACTTAGTATGCATCTACACAGCAGGCAGTTATTTTATAATAGTGTCAAAATACTATCAAGCTGCAGGGCTTCTTACTCCTACTCCTATAACCCTCATTGTACAAGGAATAAGGGAAGTCAGAGGAAGAGTGCTCTATTAGAAATTAGTGCTGTGTAGACAGCACCAAAACTCAATAAGCTAAGTCGAAATAAGATATGCAATTGACGTAGCTCAATTTGCGTAGCTTATTTCGAGTTAAGCTCTGAAGTGTAGACACACTCTGTGCCAATAAAACTATAATTTGATTATTTATATTTTCAAAGATAAGAAAATATGATTTTTTTTAATTGTTCTGGCATGTAGTGCTCTGGTGCCTGCTTGTTTTTAAAGGGAAAGTATAAAAGCAAATGGTGCTTTTTGTTTTATTCTCACTAAGAACATCATTATTCCTGTAATACTCTCAATTAGTAGATGAGTTGATTGCTATTCCTGAAAAAGAGGCATACCCAGGGAGGAAACAGATTGAACCTTTGTTAGACTCCACTTTATCAATAATAGAGAGCAAGCAGGCCCCAATAATTCTAAGGTATTCTAGAAGAAAAATAATATAATTCAGAGAAGAAGAGTTTGTCAGTAAAATGCTCTGTATTCCTCAAGATCCACTTGATGATACCAAAGCTTAGGGAGTGAATGTCCCCTTAAGGCCCATATCAAAACAGTAGTTGAATTGCAAATAGAAGATGAGAAAAGCTGCTCATCGACCTTTTGTTCAAGCACTGAAGACCCGGACTTGACCCATCACATTTTGACTGCCATGGAATAAAATGACAAATTCATAGAAATCGGAAAAATTTTATCACTCCCTCAAATCTGCTGATTTTCATCTTTCCCTGTTTGCTAGGCTAGTAGGCTACATTCAAACCCTCTGGATGGCAGATTCTTGATGCGCATTCAGCATTCACAGGCTGCGATGGTGGGGAAGAAGGTATTTCATATGAAAAAGATCTTGACCCAGGACAGCAAATGTTTGATGCTTTTAGATTCTGGCATTGTTTGAGAAATGGAACCTCAAAGATAGTTATGTGTGTTATGCATATACCTCATGTCAGCATAACATGTGTATAAATGTGTATGTTGTAATGTCATTCCACCATGTTGTGCTCTCAAGATTAATCAGTTTTGGTCCACTCAAAACAGTTAGACTGGGTAAGATTTCTTCTGTCTCTGCACATTTTGTGCATTGTTACTATGAACAGTCCTTTTTGGAAGTGATGATTTCCCTGGTTCATTACATGTATCAAGGTCCCCCCCCCCCCCATACATCTGATTTATATGCACTTTAGAATGTCAGGGAATTCAGATGCTCTGTGAATCCTCAGCATCTTTCACAGTCTTTCTCTGCTTTCAGTTAAGTACAGCATTGTGCAAGTGCCAAGAAACTGATGCTCTGAAGAAACAGCGAGGTTACTGTGCTTGTTTTGCCAAAGCAGCACTTTCTTAAACAGAAAAGTGGTGATACCTGTTCAGGCTGTAGATTGCATTTCTTTGAGCAACTGAGGACTGTGTTCTGGGGAGAGACACAGCAAGAGATAAATGAAGGCATGTTGGTAATAAGGCAGTGGAGCTATAGGATGAAGGCACACCAGAAACAGGACAGCATTAGCTATACAATACCATCAGCAACAGCAGAAACATTAGGAACTACGGCTACCAGATGGTTTCAAAAAAATACTAGACACACTTGATCTCAGATGGTGTGGGGGACCGGCCAGGAGGGGAGCGGGTCTGGCTGGGAGGAGGTTGGGAGGAGTGAGGCTGGCCTGTGGAGATCGGGGAGGGAGGAACCAGCCGGCAGGAAGCAGACCTGGCCGGGAGGTGGCCAGGGGGAGCAGGGATGACCTGAGCACACGCAGATCCCGGGGTGCTGCCCGTCCCGTGCACAGTCCCGGCAGGGTGCACAGGCAAGTCCGTCCCCAAGGAGTCCATCCTGCCCCGCCCCACACCCGTCCTCTCTATTGTGTAGCTGAGTACTGCCTGGCTGGCAGACACACTCACGCAACTACATACTGATACTCATGATATGAATACAGCTTACTTAATTAGAAAATACCCAACATTTATATGTCCGGTATTTTCTCAATTTGTTTCCCAGACAGAAAGCTCAAATACCGGACTGTCTGGTTCAAAACCAGACACCTGGCAACCCTATTAGGAACGAATACTGTAATAATGCAGAGGTGCTGGAACAAGGGGTGATGCAGCATGCTCTGGCTTGAAATGGCTTCTGTTATATACAGGGTTTCTTGTTGATTCAATGGCTGTCAGTGCCTGTACTATAAAAGTTATTCCAGCACCCCTGTAATAGTGGGTACATTCTTCTTCTTCTTAAGCCTGGATCCTTTAAAAACTATAAGTACATATGAAACTTTGCTCACATGAAAAGGTACATTGCAATCAACAAGAACACTTCCATGAACAAAAATACGTATCTGATTATTGGAGGATCAGAGTCTTAGAAGATGTTTGCTTAATGAAAATGAGATAATTTAGCACTGACTACTTTGTAGTAGCTGCAGCCGCTGTGAGATGTTACCATGGGAGCCAACAGAATTGCTGGGCCCATAGGCAAAGTGTGGGAGGGCTGGCTCTGTGAAGGGGCAGGACGAGGGAAGCAAGCCCTCAGCAGCACCTGGACCACACCACCTCTCCCCCACAGCCAGCCAGCCCAGGGATTCTGGTGGCAATTTAAAGGGTGTGAGGCCCTTTTGAATTGCCAAGGTCTAGGGCAGTTGCCCTTTTTGCTATCCCCCGTCAGTAGGCCTGGGTGTTACTATAGGTATGTCACTCAGTGAGTGGATAAGAAGTAGGGTTGTGCGTATGAGTGCGTGTGCATGCATATGAGAGAGAGAGGATATTCTTGGCCTCTGCTGAGACTGCTCACACTACAAATAGTATGTGTTATAATAAACATCTAATGCACCTGAACACTCATCTTCGTAGCACTGGAACTTCCTTATTGACATTTTATCTTTATTATTCTGAATACTTCTATTCCTTCCCTGCCAACACCTTATAAATGTCCAAGCTAAGCACAAACTATCAGCCTTTTAAAGTTTTACTGAAACTTACAAAGGTTTAAATCATCTGGCTACACATATATTAAAATCATTATCTGCTGGATGCTACGTATTTGTATTGTTGACCTTTCAGATGTTCAGAACAACTGGTTCACAATGACCTTCCAACTACCACGATCATCATGTGTTTTGTGGATGAAGTGTGGTCCACTCTCCTACGCTCCGTTCACAGTGTTCTCAATCGATCTCCTCTTCACCTGATTAAAGAGATTATTCTGGTGGATGATTTCAGCACAAAAGGTAAGTGAAAGCTTTCTTTCAAATTCAGGAAAGGAATATGCCCTGGGGCTAAAAAGCAATTTGCCTCTCCTTACTTAAATTCTGTATAAGAAAAGAAATATAATTTTCTTCATTAATTTCAATTGATTCCATGTTTTAATCACAAAGCTATGCAACCTTGTGCTGTGATCACAGCCTGAATTGATTTCCCCACCAGCTCTCTCAAGCCAGCCAAGATGAGGCCAATGTAATGCTTGGGTAGGAGATTTCCAAGAACACTTGCATAAGTAGTAGAGTGAAGATAGACTCCTTCCTTCCGAATCAATACAAAACCATTGCCCCTTATAGTGTTGTGGGTACAGTAATTCCTCATTTAACACTATAGATATGTTTCAGAAAATGATTGTGTTAGTGGAAACGTGTTATGCGGGGTCAATTTTCCCATTGAAAATAATGGAAGAGGTGGGGGTTGCGTTTCAAGCAATAGTGTCTGTTGACATAAGGTTGGGGGAGAAAGAGGACTGTGTTACAGCATGGAGGGGAGGTGTTTGGCTCTGGGGAAGGGAAAGGAAGGGAAGGGGAGGAGAGGGGAGGGAGATTGGGTTGGGAGTATGCCCCTGTGACGGGTCTGCTGGGACCCGCACTGCGTTCGGCGAGGGGGGATTGCCGGGGAACGGCACAGTGAGCGGCAAACCCTCCACCAGTTTTCCAGGGAGGCGGGGGAAGCCCCACGCAGCCACTGACGATGGGCTGACTGGGGAAACCCAGCCGCCAGCCTGCAGGCGGAGGCGGAGGAGAGGGGGCAAGGCATCTGGCAAGAGGAAGTCAGCGGGGAATGGAATAGTGAGCAGCGAATCCTCTGCCGCTTTGCAGGGAGGTGGGGGAAGCCCCGCGCAGCCGCCGGCAACGGGCCAGCTGGGGAAATAGTGCTATTCTGGGAACGGTCGTGTAATTCAAAAAACGTTCCCTAAAAAAAAATCGTGCTATTGCAAAAACATGTTAAGCGGGCATGTGTTAAATGAGGAATTACTGTACTATGTTGCGTGAAGCTCCGCTTTTCACATGAGATTTAAAATAGGTGGCTCTGACCCAAGATAACTAGAACATACTCGAATAGTGATAGAAATGTAGCCGTGTTAGTCTGGGGTAGCTGAAGCAAAATGCAGGACAATGTAGCACTTTAAAGATTAACAAGATGGTTTATTAGATGATGAGCTTTCGTGGGCCAGACCCACTTCCTCAGATCAAATAGTGGAAGAAAGTAGTCACAACCATATATACCAAAGGATACAATTAAAAATGAACAAATATGAAAAGGACAAATCACATTGCAGAACAGGAGGGAGATGCGGGGGGAGGGGGCGGAGGAAGGAAGGTAAGTGTCTGTGAATTGATGATATTAGAGGTAGGGAGAGTGGGATGTTTGTGAGTTAATGGTATTAGAGGTGATAATTGGGGAAACTATCTTGGTAATGGGTGAGATAGTTCAAGTGTTTGTTGAGTCCTTTTTGGAAAGTGTCGAATTTTAACATGAATGACAGTTCAGAGGATTCCCTTTCAAGTGCAGATGTAAAAGGTCTTTGTAGCAGAATGCAGGTGGTTAAGTCATTGAGAGAGTGTCCTTTCTGGTTAAAATGGCAGGAAACTGTTTTTTCTTTGTGATCTTGTCTGATATCTGTTTTGTGGGCATTAATCCTTTGGCGAAGGGTCTGAGATGTTTGTCCAATGTACATAGCAGACGGACACTTTCGGCACATGATAGCATAGATTATATTTCTGGATGCGCAGGAATATATGTTCTTGATCTTATAACTCACTTGGTTAGGTCCAATAATGATATCAGCAGAATGAATATGTGGACAAAGCTGGCAACGGGGTTTGTTGCAAGGGAAGGTACCAGGGTTGGTATTAGTGTGGTATGTCCTGTGGTGGTTGGTAAGAATCATTTTGAGGTTAGGTGGTTGTCTATAGGAGACTATGGGTCTGTCTCCCAGAGCCTCTTTGAGTATGGTATCCTGTTCCAGTATAGGCTGTAGTTTATTGATAATATGTTGGACAGGTTTAAGTTGGGGGTTGTAGGTGATGACAAGTGGTGTTCTATTGTTGGTTTTCTTGGGTCTGTCTTGAAGTAGATGGTTTCTAGGTATTCGTCTGGCTCTTTCAATTTGCTTTTTTATTTCTCTGGGTGGGTAGTTGAGGTTTATAAATTCTTGGTAGAGATCCTGAAGCTTCTGGTTTCTGTCAGTGGGATTAGAGCATATGCGGTTGTATCGAAGGGCTTGGCTATAGACGATGGATCGTGTGGTGTGTTCTGGATGGGAGCTGGAAGCATGTAGGTAACTGTATGAGTCGGTGGGCTTTCTGTAGAGAGTGGTGTCTAATTTTCCATTGTTGATTTGTACTGTGGTGTCCATACTCTTGACAGTTAAAATTATAATCACAGAATCCTGGCCAAATTCAATTGCATTTGGCCTACTGCAGTGGCCTTGAAATCTCAACTAAACCCAGTCTTGTTCATCTCTTAAGCTATTGGGTAGCGTGAAAGCATCTAAGATGGTCACTTATATACAGTTACTTTACATGCACAGTCATAGTAACTGCCTATGCCACTGAGTCTCTGCTTTTTAATACTTTGGTTCTCAATGCTCTACAACAATGCTCTTGAATAATTAAAAAAAGGGAGAATTTTTAGATTGATACATCCTCCTGGCAAGCCCTGGGCCAAATCAAAATCAAAAGCAATTGTTCTAATTGTTGTACAAACACAGACAGGACCCCTGACCTAAAAAGAGAAGTGGCATAAGAAAGATGAGAGGAAAATGACTTAATTCAGTATCTAAATGTTACAGAGATTTGCATTTTTAGGTAAATAAATAGATTTTCACATAGTTTTTTAGCAAACTTTCCTTAACTTTTTCACTTTCTTTTGTATGGTCTAACCAGCCCATGGCATAATAAAAGTATTGGGCCTCTTCCAATATAAATGTTATGGGTGGTGAAAAAGTCACGAGAGAACTGAGTTTTATGTGGTTCTATATTTCTAGTAGTGGTAAAAAAGGCAGAACTTCTAGTGTGTCCAAAGTTTAAAAAAGTCAATCCAAGATTTTGAGTTGGATTTTGAAATGCAAACATTTCTTTCCTTTAGAAAGCAAAAAAGGACATATAAAATTCAGGAGACAAACCCTAAGGTTTTTTCTCAGACAAACTTATATAAATAGGAATTGTTACAGTCAGTTAGTTGAATAGTCAATCTACTGCAATACCTGGTTTCTGACAGAGGTCAGCTCTAGATGCTTCAGAAGAAGGTGTCAAAAACTCCACTGTAGAAATGCTCACTGAGGCCTTCTCTCACATTTCATTCTGTCTTTACTCAGGCAAGAATCTGGCCCAATATATTGAACCCTCACATGCTTAGGATTGCTACTAAGCCATACAGCTTCATTTCTCACATTTTATTCTGTCTGAGAATTTTGTACGATAAAACCCACTCCCATAAAAAAGTCAAACAAATCTAAGTGCCATGTGAGAAATAATTGCTTGCAAGTCTGCATTCTTCACTCAGTTTAAGAACAGATGGATTTAAATGTAGCCATTAATATTAGCTGTTGGAATTCAATAGAAAATTTGCAGAGCACAGAAAAAAAGGCACTCACTCTATGGAAACCAAGTTGAGAACAAGTTTTTAATGGGATTTATGGTGGTCTAAAGGCAAAAATTCTGATTTTAAAAATTATAAAAGAAATGTTAAGTATAAGCCTCAGTGGGAAATGCTATAGATTGATATAGGACCAGTGTCACATAGACTGGAATTTTCAAACTGAGCAGTGATAGAATCAGACTCATAGAACTGGAAGGGATCTGGAGAGGTCATTGAGTCCAGTCCTCTACCCTCATGGCAGGACCAACCACTGTGTAGATCATCCCTGATAGGTGTCTGTCTAACCTGCTCTTAAATATCTCCAGTGATGGAGATTCCACAACCACCCTAGTCAATTTATTCCAGTGTTTAACCACTCTGACAGAAAATTTCTCCTAATCTCCAACCTAAACCACCCTTGCCGCAATTTAAGCCCATTGCTTCTTGTCCTATCATCAAAGGCAAGGAGATCAATTTTTCTCCCTCCTCCTTTTAACACCCATGTAGGTACTTGAAAATCGCTATCATGTCCCCTCTCAGTCTTCTCTTTTCTAAACTAATCAAGCCCCATAGTTTGAACTAGGGGGCTAGTGTAGACATACCCTAAGGTGCTACAGGACTATAAGTTGTTTCTGAAGTTTTCTTATTAAAATTAATGAGAATTTTACCATTTACTGCATGGGAGCAGAGTTTGGATATTGCTGGGTGCTTTTGAAAATCATGCCTACAAATAGCATACATATTTTTGCCTTATCCCTTTCAATTTCCTGTTTTTCAAACGTCCATAGAGCTCAAACGCATGATTCATACAAAGAGGCTTCCAAATAGTTTGGGGAGGGAGGAAATAGTGCTGCTGAAGTGCCTAATCTAATGCTCTCCGATGTCAAAGTCTATGTCTACACCTCAGGCTTCTTGTGCAAGAAGCTTTTTGCGGAAGAGATCTTCTGCAAAAACTTCTTGCACAAGAGTGTGTCCACATTTCAAAAGCACATCAAAAAAGCGATGCGCTTTTGCACAGAGAGCTTACAGTTTGCCTGGATGCTCTCTCAAAAGGAAACTCTGATTGCTATTTACAGAATGGCCACCAGGTCACCCGTATTTTTTCCGATTGCTTTTTCTATTGGCTCTTTTTGCACAAAAACCCCCTGCTCCCCATCCACACATACCTTTTTCCACAAGAACTCTGGCACAAAAAGGAGCTTTTCTTCATAGGAGGAGGAATATCGACACCGGAAAAACTCCTCTGTTCTTTCATTTTACTTGCACAAAAACACGCTTGAGGTGTGGACGCTCTGTGAGTTTTTGTGCAAAAGCAGACTTTTTCCACAAAAACTATGTAGTATAGACTTAGCAAAAGAGACTATCTCCAGGTGGAAAAAGTGTGTTTCATAGATGATTTAAAAATTAATGAGATAAAACTTTTTTCACTGCTGTGTTATGGCTTGAAAAAGACAACCCAGTCATTTGTAAGAATTTGCTACTTTCTCTCCTGTTTAGAATACCTCAAGGATAACTTGGACAGATATATGTCAAGGTTTCCAAAAGTACATATCCTTCACCTCAAAGAAAGACATGGCTTAATACGAGCTAGATTGGCAGGGGCCGAGATTGCTAAAGGTAAGAGGAAAGTTCTTATGTGCCATTTTGGGTTTGTATGAATAGGGGAGTTATACTACCAAAATCTTACCTTTTACTGTGCTGTATATCATAGCATCTTAAACCAATATAGAGATAGCTGAATATTGTTTGACAAGTTTTGTCATTGCTTGGCAAAGAATTTTGCATGCATCTGACAAACTCACTATGTTGTTCAATACTACTCGGCCCATCATATATTTGGAAAAGTGAGGCAAAACTGACTGATTTGACATTAGGTAGATGATTTAAAATACAACAATTTTACTGAGCAGCTGAGAAGCTGGCTACTTTGAGGGAGGTACAGTGAGGCACTGTATTTCAGTTCTGAAAGAAGGATGTTAGAATTTCTAGCTCTCTTTCCTTGCTTCACTTCTTGACACTCACAAACCCATAGCATTTGGTCATTAAAATGTCTGTATTGTTTTATGCCAATGATACAATGTGTTGGATTCCCTCCTAACAGCCAGTTAGCAGCTTTCTACTAACAGCTACCATGGAGCAGTGGCTAAGGTACCTTCTGCTAGAAACACAGGTTGAGGGTGTGAGACCCCAACCCACCCTTGGAGGACAGCCAACCCTGACACCCTTGGGAGGGAGGATGCAGAATGTAGGGAGGTTGGGGGCTCCTCCAGTGGCACAGAGGGTAAGGTAACCAGAGGTGGAGGGATTCAAGCCCTACCCCACCCCCCTCTGGGGACAGCCACCAGCTTGGTGATGGCTAGCATGTGTCTTAAGATTGTTTTGTTTGTTGGAAACTTGTTTGGGTGGTAAGCAGATAAAGGGATATCTTTTTATGTAGTCATTTAAAGGGAAACTGTATTTGGGTTCATGGATCCTATATTTTCTTCTTCTTTGCCCAGGAAGCAATTCTCCACTTATTTAATGCATTGAGTTAGGGAAGATTGCCCCTTTCCAGACTTATATTCTAGTTTTACATTGTGCACTAGGACAGCACTTTTGAGTCCAAAATTCTGTCCCAGTGCCCACATCCAGTCTGCAGGAAGCGTGGATGGAACATGTTGCAGTTGGAACTTACAGGGGACATTATACCTCACTTAGCAAGAATTCCTCCTAGTAGCTACTGGGAAGCACTCAAAGCATCAGGGGGAATGCACCTGCCAAGCTCTTGCCTGCCAGTTGGAGAATGTACCACCTCTTTGTCCCTTTCTGCTTATCTCAGATGATTAGCATCTACAGGGGTTTTAGGTAGGAGTATGGACCACATTCTTTGCTGGGCTTCTGGCTTACACCCCCCACAAGGCACACGTGGGTGACTGGAGTAGAGTATCTTCCACCTTTCTCTCCCATGTATGCACGTCCTCTAGAGCTCGCTATAACATGGCATTTTGAGAGCAGGCAAACACTCTTTACAAAAAAGTTGCTGGTAAATCATAGTTGAAGTCAAAATGTGTTCAGAATGAGACACACACTTAGCCTCTTCCTATGTGGGTTTATAGAATCAGTGTATTATTGTTAGGGGCAGGAATTGCTTGACTTGGACTTTACTGAATACATTTCAGTCTCAAAAATTAAATAACCTCACCTTAGTTCTCCTTTCTAGGTGATGTACTGACGTTCTTAGATTCCCATGTGGAATGTAATGTAGGATGGTTGGAACCACTTCTGGAAAGAGTCCGTTTAAACAGAAAGAAAGTAGCATGCCCAGTTATTGAAGTAGTCAGTGACAAGGACATGAGGTAATTTCATTCAATGGCATATTGTACTTCTAGGAAATACAAGCAACTTTCACAAAAAAAACCTTACAAATTAAAAGTATCAAAAATATTAATTCTGGGAAGACAAGTTACTTAACTTGCTAATTATTATTCACAAATTATTTCACTCAAGGAATAAAGAAAAAATTAAATGAACAAATATTTAAATATACACAGCTACCTCAGTTATCCCAAGTACCAAACAGCAAATGAAATTTGTGGTATGTCATGAATGCTGAGTTACTCAAAGAAGATCAGGGACGGTCTGTGCCTATAGGTAAACTCGGCAGCCACCTAGGGCGCCACGTTAAATGGGGCGCCAAATTTCATAGTGGGCACAGAGCACTACCAATACGGAGTGTTACCTTTTGGACTTTCAGCAATGCCAAGAGTTTTTTCCAAGACTCTGGCGTTAGTGGCTGCTTACCTTAGACGTCTCGACATCATGACCTTCCTGTATTTAGACAATTGTCTATTGAAGGCTCCCACCTTGGATAAAGCTACATGGGCAGTCGCCACTACCACGAGAGTGTTCAAGGCCCTGTGCCGCGGGGAGGGTCGGCCCCAGGGGAGGAGGAATGAAGGGGGGTTTCCCCTGTGCCGCAGGAGGGAGGGGGTCATCCCAGGAGAGGCGCATGCTGGCTTCTCTCTGGGGAGGTGGGATCTTGGGAGGAGGTGGGTGCAGGGGACTCTCTCCCCCGACTGGTACCCTGTTCCCTGTCCCCAGCCACAGAACTCCATCCCCAGCCCCCCTCTCCCCAGCGATGTGATGGTAATGGCAGGTAAAGCAGGATAGCGTAATGGACTAGTTTGGATTTGTAATAATAAAAATTATAATTAACATTTGTAATGCATTTTTAGTGGAAATCGTGCTGAAATATCGTCTATCGTGTACAAAGTTATTCTGAAAATGTCGTGTCTCTATTTTAATCTGATCTCAGAAATGTTGGTTGGATGAACAACCCGAATAATTATGCCTGTTTAAATAAATATGCTTAAAAACATTAAATGGAAAATAGGGGCAAAATGTTTCCTAGTTTACCAAAAACTTCAGCATATATCTGCCCTTGGGGTTGGAGGGGTGGGGGGGAGGGTGCTGATTGCATGGTTTTCCTAGGGCACCAGTTGCTGGCAGCTAGTCTAGGGCCACCCCATTCACAAATTATTTCACTCAAGGAATAAAGAAAAAATTTAATGAACTAATATTTAAATACAGCCGCTCCCCGAGTTACAAACAAGTTACGGACCAACACTTGGTCTGTAACTCGAAGTGTTTGTAACTCTGATTACATAGAGTTACATGGCAACCGCGCTGTTCTTAAGCACAGATCGCCGTTCGTAACTTGGATCCGCATTTACGACCTCTTTGGTTGTAAGTGCGGATGGTCGTAAGTGGAGGTGGTCGTAACTCGGGGAACAGCTGTGTATACAGCTATCTCAGTTATCCCAAATGCCAAACAGCAAATGAAATTTGTGGTATGTCATGAATGCTGAGCTACTCAAAGAAGATACATGAATAAATCTTTAAGATTTGGCTTTAATTATGCAGACACATTCATTTTCACTTATTCCTTTTGATTATGAGTCTGCTTCAAAATTCGATATTATAGTTTTCTTTTTTCCATGTGTAGTTACATGACGGTGGATAACTTTCAACGTGGGATTTTTACCTGGCCAATGAATTTTGGATGGAGACAGATTCCTCCAGAGGTCATTGAGAAAAATAAAATCAAGGAAACAGATATAATAAGGTAAGAGTTTAAAATTAAGCATTTTTTTTAGTAGAAATACCCCATCAGAGCTTCAACAACTACTCTCTGCTAGGCCAAAAATGTCCCTTTTACATAAATGGGCACAGAAGGGCCAACATCCAGAAAATCTGTGCAGTTCAGTTGTGTAGGAAGTTGTGCCATCTGATGTGTGCTGCCAAAGTCACAGAGAGCACAGCAAGCATTGCTCAACTGCTCATGAGCTGCAATATTCTGTTGGATCATGCATAGCCTCAGGGGCTCTAGCATACAAGTGGAGGGATTCCAGCACTGGCATAGCCAGAGATAAAGGTCTCGTACTAGAACAATCACACAGCAGCAGCAAATGGGCCCTTTTATGTCGTAAGCCACACAAGCTTTTGCAATTAGATGCACTTAGGTACAAAGTCAGCCCAGTTCTTTTGATCTCATCAGCCATACATTTTGTTGGTTTTGTCACAAGCACTTGAAGTTAGGGGGTTGGATTCCTCATCCTGCAAAGTCCACATTGTGTCCCCCATCTTTTCCCATTGGTATGAGAAGAGGGAGGTAATGAATCACGGTTACAGCAGAGTAGATTAAGAGGTGACAAGGGGCATGGTAGAGTGGACTTTCACTCTCCTCAATCTCCCACTAGTGTAAGGACGCTGAGGGTACATCTACACTGTGCACTTATTTCGAAATAAGCTTGTTTGGAAGAAATACTTTGAAATAGCTCATTTCAAAATAGCAGGTCTACACTACAGGGAAGCCTCAAAATTAGTCCGAGGCAGGCTCCCCTAATGTGGGCATGCTAGCTAGATTTAGAGTCCCAGGAGGCACTGGTGAGTAATTAGTTTGAATGGCCCTGGGGAAGAGCTATTTTGAAATAGCAGCAGTGGAGTGTCCACACTACCGCTATTCTGAAATAGCTGTTTCAGAATAGGTGTTATTCTTCAAGTAATGAGGTTTACAGAAGATGGAATAAGTTGCCCATTATTCTGAATTTGTTGCTATGTAGATGCTGTGTAGACACTCGCATTGTTATTTTGAAATAATGTCATTTATTTCAAAATAACTGTGCTGTGTAGATGTAGCCTGAGGGAACTCAACCAGCAAATAGATTTGATCAGTTCCCAGCAGCTCTAACTTGTACCAGGGCTGAACAGTGCAGGATCAGGGGTCCAGAACTGGTTCCTACAACTCACCTCCCTTGCCCCCTCCCCTTCACTGTGTTCAAAACTAGCTTGGGTGATGTGGAGAATCCAGCCCAGGCTGTTTTTGGAGGTACCTTTGATTCCTTCTCTCTGGCTCGTGACTGGATCTCCTACCCAATGTTGTTTGAGCAAGATAAGAATCGTCTGTATGGTGGCCTTTCATGGTTAGCTCAGTTCTTTTTGTATTACTTTGATATCTATCTCATTATTCCACTTTGTACCACTGATTAAAGTATTTGGCCTCTAGGTGCCAACAGAAAAAGTTCTTTTCTGTAGAACTTTAACCTAAACTGTGAGCCCAAGATAATGTTTCTGTTCCTCCAGCACCAACAGGAAAGTCTGGGTAGACAGATAAACCAGAGATCAGAAAAAGACCTTAGAGGCTCAGCTTCACTAATTTTCAGCTTCTGTTCAGCCACTTTGACCAGGCATACTGTGCTGTCTTTGAACCAGTCTTTGACTCATGTTTACCCTTCCATCGCATGCTTTGTAAAGATTAGTATCCATTTTGATAGTGTGCTTGCTTGTCTGTGGTAAAGTAAAACACACACATTACTCTCACTGCCACGTAGTTACCTTCAGATTTTAAATAGCCTGGTTTTGCTTAATTTCATAGCCAATGGGTCTCTCTGTTTTTTCAAACTTATCTGTTTGCTCTGTCTAGTAACTCTCTCAGGTCTGTTTAGTTTCCATTTTTGAAAGTGCAAATTAACATAGTGTTGCACTTAGAGCCTGTTGCAGGACTGCTTGATTCCATGATTTCCTGGCTATTCCTATGTCGGCGTATTGTGGTAAGTGCATTTTTAATTGTCCCAAAAGTAAGGTCTGTGGTTCATTCCTAGGTGTCCTGTAATGGCAGGTGGATTATTTTCAATTGATAAGAAGTATTTTTTTGAACTTGGAACATATGATCCTGGCTTGGATGTTTGGGGAGGTGAAAATATGGAGATTTCGTTTAAGGTATGTTGCAGGAATAATGATACTGAATGTGTTTTTCTGATGGTTTGAATACTTAAAGCCTTTAAATGCTATTATCTCCGTGTGGCGGGGGGCCCCCCGCCTCTGTCCCCTTTCCTCTGGGGAACAAAGCGTTAACCCCCAGCCTGGGGGCCTAGTCCGCACTCACAACAGGCCCAGCGGCCTAGTCCAGCACTCGCAGCAGGCCCAGCGGCCTAGTCCAGCACTGCGGGGTGGGGTAGGGGGGTCCGGGCCCGCCCTCTCCACCGGACCCCAACCCAGGGCCCTAATGGTGGTGGGTGGTTCCCACCACCGGCTCAGCTGGGGGTCCTCCCCCAAAACATGCTAAGCCCACTGGGGGGGGGGGGGTCCCGGCCCCTTGCCCCGG